CGGGAAGGACAGGTGGAAGCCGCGCGCTCTCTCCCCAGAGGCCCGATGCGGGGGCACAAGGTCCGAGGGCAACCAGGTGACCCGCGGACACGACCTCCCCAGCCAGCCTCAAACCAGGGCGCCCCTACCCCCCACCACCGCACTTCGGCCAACTTCGGAGTCTCAGGACGCGTCCCCTTGGGCCTCACACTCTCCCTCCCCCCTTCTCTGCTCTCCCGGGAAGGCCTGCCGGGCCTTCGGAGGCGGTGCGGGGAGGAAAGGGGCAGCCCCACTCCCGGAGGAGAGGGGAGCGCCTCGTTACGCCGGGCTCACCCGGGATACCCGGCTCTTGGCGGCGTCCGCCGGAGACGTCGGGGCCTGCAGCCCTTTGCCCTCGGGACCTCCCTTCCAGCAACAGCCATGAGCCCTGGGGAGAGACTGTGGCTGCTGAGCGGAGGAGCGGGCTCCCTGATCCCGGGAGGGAAACTGGGGCAGCCCCGGAGGCCTGGGAGGCGCATCTGCCAGGCAGACGGTACCGCGGAGGGGGCAAGGTGCACGGGGAGAGCTTGTTGTCTTCGTCCGGAGCCAACAGCACCTGCTCTCCCCCAGGCGACCGCGTTCGCTCAGCAGGGCCAGCCTGACCACAGAGCGGGGCAGCCTTCCCAAGGTCATGTAATGCTGAGGGCAAGGTTAGGAAACACATCTAGGTCACCCTGGGAGGTGGGCGCTGGCTCAACCTGTTCACTCTCCCCTTAATTCTGGAACTTTGGGTGTTGGGGGGAGGGGGGCTGGAGGAAAAAGCGGGGGGTTCGTGGTAGAGAGGCTGCCAGACCGGAGCCTGCCCAGTTCCCTCCCCAACTGTTTTAAAAAGCCACCTGGCCTCCGGGGACCAGACATCTTGGGGGGAAAGGGAAGAAGGGGGCTAGGAAATGTGGCAGGTGGGATGAGGGTGACCTTTGGATTAGGCCTGGGTTTGAGTCCAGCCCTGTCGTTGGCTAGCTGTGTGACTGAGCAAGTCACGTCCCCTCTCTGGACCTCATAATTTCAGCTCTGAAGCGGCGCTTGAAACCAGCGATCTGCCTGTGTCCCTCAGAGGACTGTTATGAAAACAATGCATCAGGCCCTAGCCGATTTGGCTCAGTGGATAGAGCCTCGGCCTGTGGACTGAAAGCTCCCAGGTTTGATTCCAGTCAAGGGCACATGCCTGGGTTTCAGGCTCGGTCCCCAGTGGGGGGCGGGCAGGAGGCAGCCAATCAATGATTCTCATCAGTGATGTTTCTATCTCTTCCTCTCCGAAATCAATAAAAATATATATATATTTTTTAAACCGCATCAGGCTCCGGGTGCCTGAGAGTGGGTATGTACTAAACATTTGAGAAATGCCTCGGAAATGAGCGAGAAAGAACAGTAGCACTTTGTTCATTCCCATTCCAGAGCCATCAGAGCTAGACGGATCCGTAGACATGACCCAGCCAGACCCCTCATTTACAAACGGGGAAACTAAAGCCCCTAGCGGGTCAGGGCTTTGCCTGACTCCCCAGTCGGCAGAAGCAACAGGTCTCACGCCTGCCTTCGCTTCACACTGCAAGCCGCCTGTCTCCATTCATTAAGGCTTTACATGCCTGCTTTGAGGTTAGCACCAGGCCAAGTGCTGGGAGAGAAAACAAGCATAACGCGCAGGATGATCAAGGTGACAACAAGAAGCTCGTACGTTTGTATCATGCTTTCTATTTTCCCCCCAAAGCATTTCACATCCATCATTGACCTTGCTTCTCAAAATAAACACCTTTGGAGGTAGAAAGAGGAGATGTTGCATCCCTGTGTAACGGATGTAGCACCAAGAGGATAAGGGACTCGCCAAGGTCACGGGCTACTGATGGGACCTGGAGCCGCCCCTCTTCCCAGCTGTGGTGCCAGGTCCTCGTAGGGGAAACCCCACAGTGGTGACAGCGTGCCGGGCTGGAACCACCACACTCATCTCATACTCACCTCGCTCCCTCCTTGCTGCTGAGTGATGAAGCAATTTACACGTTGGGCACCTACCATAGCGCCAACTGTGCAGAAGCAAGCAGAAGGCCACAGAGAGGATTGGCACATCCCTGCACACAGCAAGTCAGAGAAAGGCGAGAAGCCGGGTTTTACAGCCGTTTGCTTTTAGGTTTGCCTTGCCTTGTTCCAACAAGGTTAAAGGTGGCAGCACGCACCCTCCCAACTCAGCACCCACCTGCTTAGCGAACCACACCGCCCTCCCAGGCACATGGCACTTTCCAGTTAGAAGAGCATGTTCATGACTCCTACCTCCTTAGAACCTTCCTCTCAGAAGCAACAAGACTGGGACAGTCAGGCCCCTTTTACAGATAAGGTACCTGAAGGTTGAAAGTGATGTCGCCAAGGTCACACACAAGTTCTGCAAGGGCACGTATGAGTCAGTGTGGCATTCCTCCACCTCCATCACTCCCAACCAGCTCCTTTACAAAGGTCTCACTCGGTCCCCCACTGCCCCTGGCCTTCAGTGGAGGATCCCTTCGTCCTGGAGCCCTAGGCCTGGATACAGGCACACCCTGAGGCTCCATTCTGCCTTCCCCACTGGAGGCTGGCTCAGGTGACCAGGGCTATGTTAGGTCAGAAGAAGCCAGGTCCAGATGGAGGAATGGACCAACTAAGGTAGGAGTGGGGATGGCCCAGCCCAACCACTCAGCAAGGCAGCCTGGCAAGACACAGTCTGGTGCCATAGCTCAGGGTGAACGGGGCAGCCCCCGGCACCCCCACCCCCGCTTTCAAATTCCCACTCTGTCATTTCCTGAATCTGTGATCATTTCACCTCTTTGTTCCTCGGTTTCTCATCTGCCAAATGGGAATAATAATTGTTCCCACTTGGTGGTTTGTTCCGAGGAGGGAGATCATACGTGTATCATATGCCGACACACAGTAAGTCCCCAATAAATGGACTGACTATGATTAGCTATTGACTCTCTTTGTGGCCTTGAATAAATTGATTCTCTCCTCTAGGCCTCTGACTCTATTTCATAAAATGGGAAACTTGGAGAAAATCCCCCTTTTTTTTCAGCTGCAAAATTAG